CTTCACTCACCAGGGTTCTGGCTCCTGCCCTCTGTTCTACTCACTGTATAGCTTTTCATGCGAAAAACACTCAAACTATACCTTTAGCCCCAAACTCTATGCTTACCTCCAGACCCATTCATTTAAGTATATCTCTACTCAAATCCAACAAGTCCAAAACGAATCATCATCTTTCTTCTAAAACTCTTATAATCCTTTATATTTGTATTACCACCACCCTTTACCCAGTTGCCCAAATTAGAAATGTGATAGCCCAAGACTCTTCCTTTGCTTCTTCCCACAGTATACAATTTGACATTGAGTCTTACCTGTTCCGGCTTTAAATATTTCTCATAACTATCCAGTGGTATACTGGCAAATGCTTAGCTACCAGCTTTTGCAGGCGATGGGGGATGAGTAGCATTTGATGATTTCCATGGTGTAATCTTCCCACCATGGTTGATTTCAAGCTACTAATGTGACATCACTGAATAGAATTGGGAAGAGAAGTGCATTACCACACATTATATAGTATTTCCACCTACAGATACAACAGGCATAAATAACTTCAAGAGAGTAGTAGCAGTAAAAGTAGTAAAATAAGTATAAAATGATGAGTTCTGAGTATTTATTTCTTTTGTTTTTAATATAACTAAATTGTAAGTGTACATACTTTAATTTTCAGTGATGGCTTTGTTTAATAGCCAGCTCACCAAATTCCTGGAAATTTAACAACTGGCTCTCATGAGCCAGTACAAGCTGGATCTATCCCTCTCTTTCCCGTTCTCAAGACCAGAGGCAAAATTTAAGGCTCTGACCACCTGTCATCTTGATATTGCAATTTCCTCCTAGTAAGTCTTTCTACTCATCTGTCCCCCACATCGCTGTCCCAAGGACCCTTTCTAACACTCAGATCTGATTATATCATGCCCTCACTTACAGTCATTGAAGCCCCATAGCTTTTCAACTGGAACTTAAAATTCCTAGTTTAATGCACAGAGACTTGCCTTGTTTTGAGCCTTGTCTCCCTCTGCTTCACCCACTAACACCCTAGCAACTCAAACATATGCTGTCTCATGACTCTGGACCTTCCCCCATGCTGCTTCCACCCTCTAGATTGCCCTCCCATCTTTCACACAGCTAACTAGTACTGAGTGGTTTTTCAGATCTCAGGTCAAGAACTCCCTCCTCTGAAAGTCTTTTCTATACAGTGGCAGTATAGAGTACTGATTAGAACATGGACATAAAACCAAACAGCTAGGTCTCTAATGTCGGTTCTGCCACTTAACTGAGTAACCTTGAACACGTTACCTAACCTTAGTTTCCTTACTAATAAAATGATGAAAATAAAGTGTTACCTTGTAGAATTGTTGGGAAGATTCAAAGAGTTACTATGTGCAAAACCCTCAGAACAGTGCCTATAACTTAAGCCCTTAGGACTCAGTAAATGTTAGCAATATTAACTACCTAACTGTAAATGCTTCTTATCTGTATTTCCACAGCATTATGTACATACTCATCACAGAATACTAAATCACTGATTTACTTGACTTCCTCGTTTGTAACTCTTCAGACAGGAACCATGTGGCCCTGTGCTTAGGCAGTGTCTAGTAAGTGCTCAATAAATGAATAAGAGAGTAGATGAGTGACGCAAGCTCTGGCCAACTGGGCACATGTTTCTTTTTGACTCATTCAGCTGCATTAGATTTAAGAAAGTGAAGGGAATTTGTGAGATCCTATGATCAAATCAAAGGGAAATATTTTCTCAAGTTTAATTAGCTATACATAGTGCTATAAAAACTAAAATCAGAAGGAAATTAGTTTTAAAACCCACAATGTTTTTGCTGATTTTTGCTTCCTCTTTATGTCGCTACCATTTATAAGGAATGTGCTAACGGTGCCTTAGCCTAATTCCATTGTTATTTGTGATGAATGTAGGAAAGACTCCTCGGGTTAAAGGGAGCTTTGGTAAATGTGTGGGCAAAAGAGACTAAACATCCACTGGAAAATTATTCTGACCTCACAGCAAAAATTAAATTCTATTATTTTCTGAGGCTCTAAGTTGTTTATCTAAGGATCGCAATTTGACTTTTATGGAAAATGAAAAAAGAAAGAAGAAAGATGTATTGACCATCTCCTAGGTATCAGGCGTTTTTACAAATACTATTTCTTCTAATCTTCACAAAACTGAATTAGATGTTGTGTTAGGGTTCTCCAGGGTGGCAGGGAATAGATATGTGTTTATGTTTGTGTTTATATATAGAGAGAGATTGATTATAAGAAATTGGCTCATTCAACTATATACACTGATAAGGTCCCATGATTTGGCTTCTGCTAGCCGGAGGCCCGGTAAGCACGACGATCTCATGTAACTGTGCAGTTCTAGTCTGAAGGCCTGAGCACCAGGAACTGACGGTACGTGTTCCAGACCAAGGGCAGGAGAAGACCGACGTTCTCGCTCAAACAGGGAGGCTGAGAGAGCAAATTCTCCCTTATTCCAACTTTTTGTTGGCCCTCGACAGATCTGATGAAGCCCACCCACACTGGAAGGGCAATCAGCTTTATGCAGTCTACTGATTCAAATGCTAATCTCTTCTGGAAACACCTTCACAGACACATCTAGAAATAATGTTTAACCAGATACCTGGGCATCCCACAGGCCAGTCAAGTTGTCGCATAGAATTAACCATCACAGACGTGATCCCCATTTTCAGGTGGGGAATCTGAGGTTCAGAGGGTTAAGTAATTTTCCAAAGATTACATGGATGGCAAGTGTGGGTTCAAGTTCAAATACATGTGTTTCTAATCCCAAAGCACCACGTTCCTTCTACTAAGACAGTAAGTCTAACTCAGGTGAATTTGCCCTCCAGGGTCACTTGGCCATGTCTAAAGACATTTTTGGTTGTCATAACTGGTGGGGATTGAGGGACTTGCTACTGACATACAATGGGTAGAAGTTAGGGATGCTGCTAAACATCCTACGATGCCCAGGACGGCCCTCACAACTGAAAATTATGCAGCCCAAGATGTTAATAGTGCCAAGGTAAAGAGACCCTGCCTGAAACTATACTATATTAACGGTTTTCCAAAACAGTAGACTAGGAATAATATGCTGATCTAAAATATAAATGACTAGAGTTCCATAAACCTAATAAATACTGGTGAAAAGAGTGAATGAACGTTAAATTCTAGATTATGATTCACTTTAATAGCCTCACCTACCTTGGAAAATCTGGGGAGAATAAGTGATGGGTACACGGGAAGGTACTTTGAAAAGGGAGACAATTTCTAGGTCCAGACAAAAACAAAATATTGTTCAAGAAAAGAAACGTAAGTATTATTCAACACAAGAAACTGCTACTTGGCTCAGCTATGAAGAATATTTACCTTGTCATAATGTCAAATAATGATTTAAATAAGAATTGTGATACAATTATTTTAGGAAGAGGGGGAGGGGAAGAAGGAGAAGAAGAGTACTGTGTGCATGTGTGTGTGCATGTGTGCATGCGTGTGCTGTGTGTGTGTGAAGTGAGAGCTGTTACAGTATTAAATTAGTTGAATAATGTTAAATATTAAGATAGTTTTAAATACCCACTTAAGCATTTATTTTAAAATATTGAGTAACTAGCAGAAGAAATTCCTCACTTTCTTTATAAACATCAAAGTAATATTTAAAGCTCTATGCATGTATTTATATATAAAGCTATGACTCTAAAAAATCATTTGAAAAGTCATATTCCAGTTCTGGGAGATCCAGAGAATCTCTATTAAAGAATAAAAAGTGTACCCCTAATCCCAGTCAGAGTTCAGACTACCAGGCTTAGGGATACTCCGCAAGAAAATGTAGACAGCCCACTCTTTCAAGAGTTCATGTGGAGGCCAATTTACTTAGCCTCCCTGAGCCTCACTTGTTTCATCTCTAAATTAAGTAAGTTCATTTGGAACTAATTAAACTCAAATGCATGGCAAATAACAAAAATGAGACAGACCAGGTACAACTGCCAGCATCACTTACAGGTGATAGTCTCAACTCAGATCCAGCCAGCGTTGCCATAAGGACACATTGGTGCTAAGAGGCCCAACGGTTCAAAAGAAACTACAAATCTGAACTTTCACATGAAAGCTCCAGATTTTAGAATGCTAGTTTAAAACACACAGTGCCTGCCAAACCCAACCCATCTGCAAGCCACCACCAGCTCACAGATTCCCAACGTGCGACCTCTAAGTTAGTGAACATGGATGGCCCCTCTAGGGCAGTGCAGCGTCTCATTTCTAAAAATCTCTATTGAATGTATGAGTTTCTCCAACACCAAAGAAGCAGTTTGTTTAATCCAAACCTGACCCACTATATTACTTCACTTTGTGACTTTTGCATTCACTGTGAACACTCACAAATCTTCAGAACCAAGATCTGCATAAAGCCTTTATCCAAGAAAGCACAGTCATCAACAAAGCTAGGTGGGCTTCCCTGGTGGCGCAGTGGTTAAAAATCTGCCTGCCAACACAGGGGACACGGGTTCTATCCCTGGTCCAGGAAGATCCCACGTGCCGCGGAGAAGCTAAGCCCGTGTGCCACAACTACTGAGCCTGCGTGCCACAACTACAGAAGCCTGCGCGCTAGAGCCTGTGCTCCGCAACAAGAGAAGCCACCGCAATGAGAAGCCCGTGCACCGCAACAAAGAGTAGCCCCCGCTCGCTGCAACTAGAGAAAGCCCGTGCACAGCAATGAAGGCCCAACGCAGCCAAAAATAAAAGAAATAAATTAATAGAAACAAAACAAAACAAAGACAGGTTCTGCCAAACACAGCTGGGCCAAAAAATCAAGGAGTCATTCTCAGAGGGACATGATTGGGTAAAAACTGTCATTAATCGGTCTTTTCAGACATGTTAGTCCACAAGGACAACAATTGCCTTTAAATACAAAGGACAGAATCAAGCTCAATATTTGCTAAGCAGAGTATCTTTTAATCTTTTACAAGGAAATTTTACCCACTACTGCTAATTATCTTCTTGGTTTACAGGTCTAGAAAAATGAAGTCTGTGATTTTTTTCCTATTCATTTTGGAAACTGCAGTTGCAATCCCGGTAAATATCCTTTCCTCTATTGTTACATCTCTCCTTCCTGACATTCAATTTAGAAATCCTCCATTTAAAAGAAAATGTTCTTCAGCTTGCGCTATTTACTTAGTAGCATGTTAATCATATCACCTATGAGGTGCTTTTGATTTTATATTAGCCCTAAATTTTTAAGAAATAAATCAGGGACCACCCTCCCTAAATAAATAAATAAATAAAATGTTCTTATAGAATGCTTTGAAGTTCTCTTTTTTAATTTTTTTAATGTTTATTGGCATATAGTTGACTTACAATGTTGTGCTAGTTTCAGGTGTACAGCAAAGTGATTCAGTTATACATATACACATGTCCACTCTTTTTCAGATTCTTTTCCCATATAGGTCATTACAGAGTACTGAGTAGAGTTCCCTGTGCTGTACAGTAGGTCCTTATTAGTTATCTATTTTATATATAGTAGTGTGTATATGTCAGTCCCAATCTCCCAATTTATCCCTTCCCCACCTTACCCCCGGTAACCATAAGTTTGTTTTCTACATCTGTAACTCTATTTCTGTTTTGTAGATAAATTCATTTTTATTTTAATCAAATTATTTTTTTTCCCAAGCAAGGAATGAATGACTAGTAAAAATGAAATAAGGTACTTAAAAAAAATATATTTCTTGGGAATTCCCTGGTGGTCCAGTGGTTAGGAATCCATGCTTCCACTGCAGGGGGCCCGGGTTCGATCCCTGGTTGGGGAACTAAAATGCCGCAAGCCGCGAGACACAACAGAAAAAAGGTCGACAAAAAATATATTTCTTTAAGAGCCAGCAGGTTCTACAACATACGAGTACGCAGCTGAAAGTGTTGACTAACTGTCTATTAGCCAGGGAATATGCCCAAATACCAAAGAGAACAGGAAGAAATAAATTCTCCTATGGAAGCTCACCAGGCTAATATGAAAAATCTAAGAAATTAGTATGAGAAATCTTGGAGCAAATACCCACACTCGCCAGCAGCAGTTTCTTCAAGATCAATACATACTGGCTGAGTAATTCTGAGTCTATAATGAAAGCAGGACCCAACAGGTTAGGGATAGGAAATGATATGGTAACCATAAAACAGCTCCTAACTCACACTTGGGGGTACGTCCAAGCAAACATGCTGAAAGCAGACAGGACCAGAACTTTCTTTTCTTCACAGCCAGATATACTAGCCCCACCATTCACACTGCAATAAATCAGCCACACACAAATCAGATCATCTGAGACCATGTCAGCAGCCTCAAAATACCTGAAAGTTGTCTTTGTTGATTTAATGGGACCGTAGCTTGGATGATCATTTGGATATCTCCCCAAGGATCCATATCATCCTTAATCAGACTAAAGGATTTGTGCCATTTTTTCCTTTTCACCAAATGGATGAATCAACCTCCTTGAAATAGACAAAGCAATTTATCTCTTGTTCCTTCTCTCCTTCCCTCTCTACTACGTCTAAGAGTCTGTCCTTGCTTTTGTTGTTGTTTAAAGATTTATTTTTTATTTATATATTTTATTTATTTTTGACTGCGTCGGGTCTCAGTTGCAGCACGCGGGATCTTTCTTTGTGGTGCACGGGCTTCTCTCTAGTTGTGGCGTGCAGGTTTTCTCTTCACTAGTTGTGTGGTGCGCGAGCTCCAGGACACGGGGGCTCTGTAGTTTGCAGCACATGGGCTCTAGGTGAGGCATGTGAGACAAAATTGTTCATTGGTTAGTGAAAAGTTCTGCTCTTCCCCACTGGCATACTCCATTTTTTTTTTTTTTAAGATTTATTTATTTATTTTCTTTTTGGCTGCATCAGGTCTTACTTGCGGCACTTGGGCTCTTCGTTGTGGTACTCAGTCCTCTCTCTAGTTGTGGCGTGGGCTCTGCAGTTGTGGCATGCCGGTTCCAGAGCGCATGGGCTCTGTAGTTTGCGGCACACGGGCTCTAGTTGAGGCGTGTGAGCTCAGTAGTTGCTACACGCGGGCTTAGTTGCCCCGCGGCATGTGGGATCTTAGTTCCCTGAGCAGGGATCGAACACGTGTACTCTGCATTGTAAGGCAAATTCTTTACCACTGGACCACCAGGGAAGTCCCTGTCCTTGCTTTTTGGATAGCTTCTGGTTGACAGATGTGTCAGCAAGGATAAACACCATGCCACCCAGACCAAGTAGTTCTTAGAAAAAAGAATTTGTGAGCACTGCTAAGAATCATGCTTAAGTAACGAGGAGCTACTCCAGCTGTAATTATAAATTCTCCTCTGAAATTACAGAAGTGGAATAATTAATATGTTCAGCACAGAGAGAAGTTCCCACAGGACCATTGTTTTCTCTTGAAAATGCGGTTTGCCCTTGCAGCTGTCGCCACTATGTAAACAAGCATCAAAAGGGTCTTTGAACTAAATGTTTGAATGACACGCCTGCATATAGACATGTTCCAGATGTTTCCCTGCTAGGAAAATATTTTTCATAGACTCAGTTCCGTGTTAAGAAACTAAGTATCGGGCTTCCCTGTTGGCGCAGTGGTTGAGAGTCCGCCTGCCGATGCAGGGGACACGGGTTCGTGCCTCGGTCCGGGAGGATCCCACATGCCACGGAGCGGCTGGGCCCGTGAGCCATGGCCGCTGAGCCTGCACATCCGGAGCCTGTGCTCCGCAGCGGGAGAGGCCGCAACAGTGACAGGCCCGCGTACCGCAAAAAAAAAAACAAAAAAAAAACTAAGTATCTTCTCAAAGGATATACCTGTTAAAAATCTTGTATCATTTTCCCTGCCTGCCTGAATTCTCCAGAAATAAGTGAGTTCTGTATGGTTCAGAGAAACCACACAGATTTCCAGAGGGTATGTTGTTACATGTGGAGAGAATAATGAAACAGAATTTCACTTTCTGAAAATTTCTGAAAGATAAGCTGCTGTGTTTCTGAAAGATAAGCTGTTGCATTTCTTCCAGCTTGCTGAGGGGGAGTGGAGGAAGAAGGGTGCAGAGACAGGGAGCAGTTCTCCATTAATAAGCCGAAAGTCTCCTCCACTATTATCCTCCATCAGGCCCCTGCCAGCAACTTGCCAAACTGGCCACCGTTCTTTCCCCATGCTCCTCTTAAAAATGGCTTCTCTGGAAATTTTTTCAAATATGATTATTCCTTTTAGTTTAAAAGGTAATAAGAAGCAAGAGAAGAAACCACATCTAAAACAAATCCTGGGGGTGGAGGGATGAATTGGGAGATTGGGACTGACATATATACACGACTATGTATAAAATAGGTAACTAATGAGAACCTACTGTAGAGCACAGGGAACTCTACTCAGTGCTCTGTGGTGACCTAAATGGGAAGGAAATCTTAAAAAGAGTGGAGATATGTATACGTAGAACTGATTCACTTTGCTGCACAGCAGAAACTAACACAACATTGTAAAGCAACTATACTCCAATAAAAATTAATAAAACAATACAGGACTTCCCCAGCAGTCCAGTGGTTAAGACTCTGCCTTCCAATGTAGAAGGCGTGGGTTTGACCCCTGGTCAGGGAAATAAGATCCCACATGCTGTGGGGTGTGGCCAAAGACTAACTAACTAAATAAATAATAGAATAGAATAGAATAGAATAGAATAGAATAGATAACCAACAAGGACCTACTGTACAGCACAGGAAACTCTGCTCAATATTATGTAACAACCTAAATGGGAAAAGAATTTGAAAAAGAATAGATACATGTATATGTATAACTGAATCACTTTGCTGTACACCTGAAACTAACAGAACATTGTTAATCAACTATACTCCAATATGAAATAAAAACTTTAAAAAAGTAATTTATATTTCACTTTAAAATTAAATCAATCAATAAAATCCTGTACTCCATAACTTTCTTTACATTATATAATCAGCACTACAGGACCTGGTAATGGAGTAAAGACAAGTTAATTCAAATAAAATCTGAGTTTTATACTTATACCTGGACCTGTCTGACATGAGTGTTCATAGTATCTCTCTAATAAAGATCTGTGATGAATACCTGCCTAAGATATCAGACAGTTCATATTATTACCACTGTGTGATATTACTACTAGCAATAGTAATTTTTCACTTGGGTTACCCCTTAAAATTCACAAAATGTCTTGTATACATAGCCTTATCTTGATATTTCTGCTCACCTCACCTTGAGAGATGAGAGAGTACAGATGAACAATTTGTCAAACCACCACACATAGTAAATAGCAGAGTCAAGACTTGAAGGAAGGTCTCTTATCTCTACGTCCAGTTGTTCAACTTCTCCATCATGTATCACCGCCCAGCTCTTCATCTATGCCTCCAGTCTTGCTAGAAATAGAGCTATTCCTATAAAGGAAATAATACTCCATAGCTGTTCAGCCCTACTAGACTTGGTGTCCTGTTTCATACAGTTTTTCAATTAGTTCAAGATTAAATTATTTTTTTACTACATGATTTCCTGATGAATATAAGACTGATAGAGTTAGGAAAGTATGCAAAAATTGAATAAAGGGTTTATAACTTTTCCTGCTAATTATCAGTGAGTACTTAAAAGTTAATTTAAGAAAATGCACAGTGCTATAGCCTATGGTTAATTTGATTTCAACTTTATGCTAAACAACATTTTTCAAAATTATAAAGTACAAATGCTTTGTAAAAGTTTTAAAAACACAGAAAATAATTCCAAAAATCAAAGGTTGCTATTATTGAAATCATTTTGGCCCTATCTTCCCCCATTCTATGCATATATAACTCTTTCTTCATCATGATTGGGATTTTGTTTTCACTTAAGATTATATTCTGACTATTTGCTTGTATCTTTAAAAATTCTAGAGAATATCTTTTAACTGATGTTATAAATGAAATATATTACTACTAACAATGATGACAAGAAAAAAGTAGCTGGAAATTTTAAACAACATTTAGGCATGAATAACAAACCAGTTTTTAATTTTTTTCAGACACAAGCAAGGTTCCTATCTGATCATTCCAACCCAACTGCTGATTCCCTGAGTTCCTTCCAACAGGCTGAAATGTTGGTAACATCTGAGCACGCTGCAATCCCCACCGTAAGGGCCGAAGATGCAGAAAATGAAACTGAAGTATCCATAGAAGACCATCCCACTCATAAGGTAAAAGTAACATGGTTATACTAGTACAGACTTTTGTCTCTCAAGGTCTCAATTCTAAAGCGTGGTCAAAGAGACTACCTGATTCACTCGTTTAATTTTTTTTAAGATGATGATCACATCAACTGCCTCCAATCTCTAACAGAATTGTGAGGATTGATGAGTTTTACTTCTTGGGCTGAAGTGCTACATAATTGTTTTATTTCAAAAAATTCAAGTTCAGGTTAAACTTGTAGCTATCGAATGTGAAGAACATCAAAAGTAAGTTTATCAGACGTTATGTGAAGAAAAAGAATTAAGAAATATTCAATGTTGGCTTATGAATTGTAAATATGATGTAGATATGACATAATCATTTGTTTCAAGGATAAACTTTTTTCTTTTTAGCCTGAAAAATCTTCAGTACTAAAGTCAGAGGAGGAAAACCATGACCAGTCAGCAGATCAGGACCAGAGTTACAGCCAACACCTGGGATTACAGGATCAAGAGAAAAGTGAAAGTGACTTAATTGAGAATTTGGAGTATACACCAACTGAAGGTACACTGGACCTAAAAGAAGATATGAGTGAGCCTCCAAAGGAAAAACTCCCCGAGAGATTCTTTGGTCATGATGTTAGTTCCATTGTAGATTCTAATCAACAAGAAAGCATCACAGAGACAGAGGAAAACCAAGGACAACCTATAAATGACTCACATCCTCAGTTGAACGGGAGCAGCAAACATAGCCAAGACCTAAGTGTTCAAGGAAACCAAGAGCAGGGTCCAAATATCCCAAATGGAGATGAGAGAGAGCCAGGTAAAACTGGTACCCACAATGATAACCAAGAAAGGGAGAGAGAAGTTCCCGAGCAGCATTCTACCAGCAATCAGGAAGAAGACAGTACACAGTCTGATGACATTTTGGAAGATTCCTATCAACCAACTCAAGTAAGCAAGATGCAGAAAGATGAATTTGAACAGGGTGGCCAAGAACAAGAAGAGGAAAACTCCAATGCAGAAATGGAAGAGGAAACTGCATCAAAAATCAGTAAGCCCAATCAAGATAAAGAATGGCAGAGCCGAGAAGGACAGCCTGGCCTTGAAGTTATCAGCAACCATGAGGAGATGGACAAAAAGACTCTTTCTGAGCCTTCGCTGGTGGAGCCTACGGACGGTAACATCAAGCTCAGAAATCATGGGAGTGATGACGACGGCGATGATGGCCCCAGGCGCAATGCGAGTGAGGAGTACTTCAACCCAAGCGAGGCTTTCCTGGAGAATGAAAGAGCTCAATCCAATTACTATCCCATTAAATATGAGGAGCAAAGAGAAAAAGCACGTGAGAATGAGAATGTAGATACCAGCGAACCTGCAGAAAACCGAGGGGTGAGATTGTTTACAATGATGCTTGTCTGATAAAGTGGTTAGCTTTTCAGAAAATAGCCATGACCTTTCTCTGTGCTCTTGCAATCCCACGTGCTCATCTCTTAGTACGTTACTAAAATATATTATAATTATTTATTTTTCTCTACATCTCCATCATTAGTCTGAAAATGCCTGTTTTATTTGGGTTCCCCTAGAAGCATATCTTGGATTTTAGTGCAGTTTGTTTGAGAAGTTCAGGGAACAAAGGAAGCTAATCAACGGTACATAATTAAAGCCATGGAAAGCACATTCCTCTGAATTAGCCCCTTTGGAGAGTGAGGGACCTATGGCTTTTATATAAGCTGAGGATTACTAGGAGAGGTGTGAATTCCCCAGCACTTCCAGTCTGTCCTTGAGCAGGCCATATAGAGTGTCGTGGTTTTCCAGGCACAGAGATGCAGATACCGGCAGTTGAACGTCCCTGGCACTAACTAGAGTGGTAAATTCTGATAGATAAGAGGGATGGGAGGCATGACAACTGCTGCTCTCATGCCTTGATAGCAGGTGCCAGGTCATAGTCAAGTTGATCACCAATGTCTAGCAAAATGCCTCTAACATAATAACGTAAGAGATACAGCAATGTTTATTGATTTAGCTATAAAGGCAAAGAACAAAGACTTCAGCTACAGCTTTATGAAGCAAACACACACCAAAATGATAATCAGGAAACGGCAACAGGGTGAGGGAAGGGAAGAAATATATTGCTATTTGGTTGTTTAATCATTTGGAGCTTTCATGCAAAACTCTGGCAGCCACCCACCAGGAGCACCTAGCACAGCTTTTGGTGGGCAAGGTGAATACTAACTTCGATTCCTGAGAACTCTGCTGCCATTCTAAGGCAGGAGTTTTCTTGCATTTTAGAAACCTGGTAAGAAACGTTTCCCAATAGCGTCACAGAGATTACTAATGTAATCATGTCTTAACTATAGAATCACATGGTAATACCACATTTCTACTGTTTTCCCAAACCAAAGGGGAGGTTCGAACTTCACTTCTGATGTTAGTTCCAATGTTTATTGGGTAATCCCCAGAGATATAGCACTGAACCCAGTTCATAAAGATAGAAATGGCTCCTGTTCTCAGAGGGTTACTGTCTATTTCCACGGCTGCGGCTGGTGTCTTCTCCTTCTGAGATCTGAAACGATTGGAGTATGAAAAGATCTGTGAAGGTACGCACAGTGGAAATATAAATTATGTAAAGGCTTTCCCTAAAATAGACTTCAACTTCTGCCCTTGTTATTATAAAGGCCAAGAAAGCAGAAAGCTCACTGAATGAAGATGACCGTTCAACTGAAGGCAACACAAGGGTGCACAGTGTCGGTGAGTACGGGCTAAGCAAGCAGACTGTGACTATATGAGGAGAGAGATGGAATGGGCTATGTTGGGCTATCCCCACGCCTTCATTTGTGACTACTGCACAGAATTTTTCCTCTCCCTACTCCTCCCCAAGGAAATGCTCCCATAAATTGTTGACATTCTCGTGTGCACATTTGATCTACAACTGTGGTAACAGTTTACAAACTGGAAATCCGGTTGCAATGTTACTGCAAAAGCTAGAATTCTTTTTCTCTAAGTCCTTTTGCTTCGAAGAAGAAAAATTGATTCTACCTTATTTACACTCAAATCCATAACTTAGAATTGAGATCCCATATTTAATAAAGACCTAATTCTTTTTTTTTTTTTTTTTTTGCGGTACCTGGGCCTCTTACTGTTGTGGCCTCTCCCTTTGCGGAGCACATGCTCCAGACGCACAGGCTCAGCGGCCATGGCTCACGGGCCCAGCTGCTCCGCGGCATGTGGGATCTTCCCGGACCGGGGCACGAACCCGCATCCCCTGCATCGGCAGGCAGACTCTCAACCGCTGCGCCACCAGGGAAGCCCAAGACCTAATTCTTAATCACATACCCCAGTCACAAAATTTTGAATTTCAACCATAAAAATTCTCGTGGCTTATTTAACTTTTGACCAACTTGCACAGCACTGCTCTGTAGACGTCAGACTATGACCATTGCCGGCAGGTCAAGAAAAGTTGTTTGTTCTTTTTAAATCCCCAATCCAAACTGCAAAGAAATCTAGACTATTATGCAAAATAGTCTGGAGCCAGAGGGTCCCACCTGAAAATTAACGCATCCATTAAAAAGGCTTCTAATGTTTTCCCAAATTTTCTCTTATTCATGGAAATGGAACTGTCTGGATGAATTTGAGTTTACGTACTCACTTTAGCTTTGTCCATGTTTCCTGTCTAAACTTTTCTGTTAGATTCTTGCATGAACTTCCAGTGTAAAAGAGGACACGTCTGCAAGGCTGATCAACAGGGAAAACCCCACTGTGCTTGCCAAGATCCAGCGACTTGTCCTCCTACAAAACTCCTTGACCAAGTAAGGCTTCTACAAAATGGTCTTTAAGGGACATCAAACAGTTAGTGATTTGAATGAAAGTAATTTGCAGTTGAAATCTTTTGTTAAAGAAAAAAAGTGAATGCCCAGGTTATCATCTAATATTTAAACAACAGTCAATAGAAACAGAAGTTCATTAGACTTTGAGGAACAGAGTGTTTTCCCAATGAACATTCCCAAGCCTGAGGTTTTTCTCCTACTTGTCTTTCTTAGGTTTGTGGCACTGACAATCAGACCTATGCCAGCTCCTGCCATCTCTTTGCTACTAAGTGCAGATTGGAGGGGACCAAAAAGGGGCACCAACTGCAGCTGGATTACTTTGGAGCCTGCAAATGTAAGAGTCTAACCACCACTGCTGAAAGTGTTCTGGGTGAATCTGAATTATATACATATATGTATGTACTCATATATATGCAGACGACAATAGCAAGAAGTTAATGTAGCTCTGAATCCAGGCTGCTCATTAAAATAACTGGGAAGACTTTTTTAAAAATTAGAAGAATAATGTCCAGGCTTTAACTGTAACAGATTCTGATTTAATTGGACTGGGTTGGAACCTTGGCATTGTTTTTTCACTTGTTTTCAAAGTAACCGAGACAATTGTAATGTGCAGTCAGCGTTCAGAACCACTATGATAATGTTATCCGCTTAATAACTGAGATGAATCATTGGAATTTTGTTAAATTAGTCGTCCTCTTCCAAAAGCTAAGCCTTTGCCAAGAAGTTTTAGTGACAGCATAGTCCTCCAGAAGTTTTTGAAATTGTCTTCCTTCCCCAGGATACTCTCAATTGTGTTTGGATCTCCTGGTCGCTAAGTGATTCTCCACATTAGCAGTGCTCACTAACCTCGCCTGTCTTTCCAGACACATGAGAGGATTCAGTTTCTCAGCCCCCTTGATGTTAGATGCAGCCATATGAGTTGCTTTGTCCAGTGCAATGTGAGCAAGAATCATCCATGGGAGCTCTGGACAGAGCATTTAAGAGCTGGTGTATGGCTCTCCATGCCGTCTTCAGCTCGTGTTGAGATGATGCTGAATGGCGGTGTCTCCCCCATCCTGAGCCCCAGAGAAACAGATGAGCAGAACTCTCCTGCCAACTTATAGGGGACATGTAGCAGGATGGAGAGATAAACATTTGATGTGATGTACGACATACTAGTCAACACTGCTGTATATGGTATATTTGAAAGTTGCTAAGAGAGTAGATCCTGACAGTTCTCACCACAAGGAAATAAAAAACTCAAGCTAACTATATGAGGTTATGGACGTTTAACTAAACTAATGATTACTGTGGTAATCATTACACAATATATGTATGTCAAGTCATTATGCTGCACACCTTAAACTTACAGGGTGGTATGTCAGTTATATTTCAATAAACCTGAAAAAAAATGTTTGTTCCTTTAAGCCACTGAGATTTAACATTATTGCCACAGTATAAGCTAACTGCTGCCTTCTGCTCTTTTCTCCTAATAAATAGCTCTTGTGACCTCCACCTCTGAATTCCAACTCTCTGATTCTAGAGTAGTGGTTCTCAGCCCTGGCTGCACATCACAATTGCTTCTGGAGCTTTTAAAACATCCTGATGCCCAGGCTCCACCCCCAGGTCAATCAAATCAGGATTTCTTTGAAAGGAAGCTGGCATCTGGTATGTTTCTAAAACACTCCTGGCAATTCTGTTATGGTGCCAGGGTTAAGGACCACTGTTGTGATGGAGGGGCAGTGAGGATGCTGTCAGTCACCGGAAGTTGTCAAGCGTCCTGTTATGAGGACTTTCCTTGGGACCGGAGTAAGACCCCAAAATTAAAATCAATTTACTTTCTGCCTGGAACAGCTATTCCTGCTTGTACGGACTTTGAAGTGACCCAGTTTCCTCTAAGGATGAGAGACTGGCTCAAGAATATCCTCATGCAGCTTTATGAACCTAACCCTGAGCACGCTGGATATCTAAATGAGAAGCAGAGAAATAAAGTAAGTTATCCACGGCCAGCTACCTAAGCGTCTGTCTACAGGGCTTGAGGAAAAAAGCGTCAGGGGACGGGGCAGGGTGGAGGGGTATATCAGCCCTTCCTCTGCATATCAGAAACCACACCTTGTTAACACCCACGGATTAACAGAACAGTAGTGGTCATTATTCACGCCTCAAAGTTTGGGACACAGCCAAACCACCCAATTCGTACAGGCAGGGCAGGGGCCCGAGTAAGAGCTCTTGAACTCATCCCTAGAGCAAACTCTGTTGACCAAAGTGAACCTCAGTTCAGCGTTTATATGTTCAGGCCCAGGCATATTATTTAAATCTAAACGTGTTTTTTGCCTTTATAGGCCAGACATAGATTTATGATATAAGGGAAATCCATTATTAACAATGTCAGTAATATATTAAGATTAAAAAGTGCAGAATATTAATCCTAGAAGTTCCCAGGGAAAATTCATTCATCAGATAGTTACTGAGTGCATACCAGGTACCTGGAATTGATTTACATGCTGGAAATACAGCAAGGGACCAAACAAAAATCTCTGCCTTCATAAGCCTACATTCTAGGCAAAGAGATGATATATACTTATATACACATGTATGCAAATATGAACATAATGGCAGGTGGGATGAAACATGCTATAAAGAAAAAAAAAAAAACATGTAGGGGGGGTGTGCATTAACTGTGTCAAATGCTGTTTACAGGTTGTTAAGATGGGGACTGAGAGTTGGCCCCTGATTTGGCACATGACAGTCATAGTTGACCATGACAGGAGTTGTTTTTGCAAGAGAAAAGCCCGAATGGATAGGGTTCAAAAGAGAATAGGAGGAATGATGTAAAAGCAGCAAGTATAGAAGACACTTTGCTGTAAAGGGGAAAGTGAAATGGGTGGCAGGTGGACAGGAATGTGAGTTCAAGGGTCTTATCTACCAGCGGGAGGTGACAGAGGATGTTTGTATGCCTCTGGAAATAATCCAGTAAAGAAGGAAGGGTCCCCAACTGCCACAGGGTATTCTTGAGTAGATGAGAAGGGGTGAGCTTCTGAGCACCAGTGAGCGGCTGGGCTTAGTAGATGAGGAGCGAAGGAATTTCACGCATGGTGACAAGGAGGGAAATTGGTAGATGTGTTCATGAGAACAAGTAGAAGTTCTGTTCTGATTGCTTTCAGTTACTCAGTGCACTAATTGGTAACGTCACAAGCTGGTAGTTTTATATGCATTGCCCCTAAATAATTTCTATCCTCTCTCTTTAACAACACATTGCCACAGACAGCCTTGAGAGCATTAGATACAAAACAGGGAAATTTCAATAGGGGTGTCAAGCAGCATCACGCCAGGGCTGACCTGAGCCGCAGCAGGCACTGGACGGAAATACATAAAGGATTAAGAATGGAGTATGCCAGGGCTTCCCTGGTGGTCCAGGGGTAAAGAATCCGTCTTCCAATGCAGGGGACGCAGGTTTGATCCCTGGTCAGGGAACTAAGATCCCACATGCCACGGTGCAACTAAGCCCGCACGCCACAACTACTGAGCTCACACGCCTCAACTAGAGCCCGAGTGCCGCAAACTACAGAGCCCATGCACCCTGGAACTGGCACGCCACAGCTGCAGAGCCCACGCCACAGCTAGGGAGAAGCCTGCGCACCACAATGAAGAGCCCACGTGCCTCAACTAAGACCTGATGCAGCCAAAAATAAGTTTAATTAATTAATAATAAATCTTAACAGAAAAAAGAATGGAGTATGCCAGTGGGGGAGAACAGAACTTTTCACCAACAAATGAACAATTTTGTCCAGGTCTGTTCAGCCCTTTTCATTAAAACCTTTTCATAGTTTTAAGAAATATGAGGAACATCACTTGGTTAAAAGATCAAACAAAGTCTTAAACTTCTTCTGAAAACCCCAGGGTTTTTTAAATGTTAGCTGTTATTCTATGCAGAAAGCTGTAGTGTTGATTAGAAGGCATGTAATTTGTTCTCAAATAACATTCTGGTTTTGTTTTCCTCTGTCATGTTAGGAATACTCTTCAAGTAAAGTTTAGCAAGTGATAATTCCTTTACACTTGTCTGATTCTCTAATGATCATCTCCCTTCCTAATCTCAGGTCAAGAAAATTTACCTGGATGAAAAGAGACTCCTGGCTGGGGACCACTCACTTGACCTTCTCTTAAGAGACTTTAAGAAAAACTACCACATGTATGTGTATCCGGTACACTGGCAGTTCAGTGAGCTGGATCAACATCCTAGGGACAGGTAAACACTTTCCACTTTCCCATTAACTAGGTCATCTCCCTGATACAATGTCTAGTTATCTATACCCAAGAATTCTAAACAGATTTACGAAACTTCCCAGTTCCATTTTAGAACACAGAAATGTCAAGCAAATACGGTTATGAGTCTAAACACAAAGCTGCTTTGAGGGACTTCCCTGGCCGTCCAGTGGTTAAGATTTCGCCTTCCAATGCAGGGGGTGTGGGTTTGATCCCTGGGCAGGGAGCTAAGATCCCACATGCCTCGCAGCCAAAAAACCAAAACATACAACAGAAGCAATATTGTAGCAAATTCAATAAAGACTTTAAAAATGGTCCACATCCAAAAAATTTAAGAAAAGTGCTGCTTTGACCATAACAGAATATGGCCACAATTCCACAAGCTCCCAAGTTTCCACGTTAGGGTCCAGCCTCCCAAGAGGCTCTTTCCACTCTTCCTCATTCTTGATCCTAAATTCTGAAGCTAATCTGATTGGCCCCAGTTGGATTAAGCACCTACGTCTGGAATGATCCGGTACGGCCGGTGGTAAGAGCCAGGTTGTATAAACATGATTGTTGGGATGCAGCCCTATAAATTTAGGGTGGAGGGAGGATAGTTCCTAGGGAAGGAGGAAACCTTATGAATTGACATCCCAAAAGCTGTCTGTCTTACCCACAAATCGTTTATTTCATTTGTAGCTCTTCACGAACGCACTCCTTATTTGCCATCCTCAGCAGCCTTGGGGAAGAAAAATGCCCTTGGTGATCGTAAGAGTTAGCTCTTCATACACAAGTTAGTAACCCAGCTAACTGGCTGCCATTTATCTCATTGCAGGGTCTTGACCCACTCTGAGCTTGCTCCTTTGCGGGCATCTCTGGTGCCCCTGGAACACTGCATAACACGCTTCTTTGAAGACTGTGACCCCAACAAGGATAAGCACATCACCCTGGAGGAGTGGGGTCACTGCTTTGAAATTAAAGAAGGTAAATTCATCATCAACCCAGGGAGAGGGGTGTCCTCTTCTCCAGATAAGCCCTAAGCCCGCAGCCCTCATAGACAGGTCCTGCTGTGTGTTCAAATTGAAACCTAGAGACCACAGGGTGGCAGACTGCAAGCTTATTTCTTACTCCCTTTATGATCTCTGTTTCAAAGTGTAGCAAGGGTGAATATTTAAGGGGTAACTACACCGAGGCCTCAGAAATTGGCTAAGCCTAAGAAAGTGATGCGAATCCAGAGAGCTGCGCCAAATCTCCGAAGGCTACCTTTCTCCGGAAGGAAGGAAGGACTTTATATCCTTCCTTAACCTGAGTATTGGGCCAAACTTTAAAAAATCATATGTGAAGAGTAAAACAGCAAGCTTGATTCTGAAAATGGGAGATGCCAGAAGAATCTTAGAATTGATTACCAACACACTAAAGATTGTCACCAGTTGTGCCCAGGTGTTATTCCTTTAATCCAAAAGGAATTCCCCCTGCAGCGGAGGAATTTAAATTTAGACATTTGTTTTGCTAGGTTATGTCTTAATGTACTTCCTTTTCTTTTCCTAAGTTACAGTTGATTTTTATGAGCAAGGCTGTTTTTTAATAATCGAGATATGAAAGGTGTTCAAACAATGAGCAATCAAAACTGCTCACAGAATGTAAATCAACAACGAACATCAGATCTGTAAAGCAGAGGCTTTACCCACGTGTTCACGACATACGTATATGTAGGATGACTATGCAGCCCAGAAATAAAGAAACGTAAGTTCATCAAAGGTCAGAGTTTCCCCAAAAGAGGTAACTTGTGTGAACTTCACTCTAAAAATATTCTTTATGCATATGTATGATGGCTTGAAATTGGAAAGAAAGAGTTGGAATATGAGGATTTAGTTATTTACTGATAAATAGATAAGCAGAAAAGGTCCTTTTCCTCTACAGTGTTATTCTGTGAAATAAGTACAACTGCAATGAGCAAAGAATGAATCTTTTTGTAAGCACCTAGTTCTGTGTATTAGTTGTCCATTTCTGCACAACAAATTACCCTAAAGATTAGAAGCTTAAAATCTCTCTCAACGTTTCTAAGGATTAGGAATCTGGGAGGACCTTACCTGGATGGATCTGCCTTAGGATCTGCTCTAAGCTCACTTACATGGCTATTGGTAGGAGGCTTCAGTTCCTCACCATGTGGTCCTTTGCACAGTACTGCTCATGACATGGTATCTGGTTTCCTCCAGAGCAAGTGATCAGAGACAGAGATAGAAAGAGAGAGAAGAGAGTCCAAGACAGAAGCCGCAGTTCCCTGTAGGACTAATCTCACGAGTGACATATTTCTGCCATATTCTGTTTGTCACACAGTCTAACCCTGCTACAATGTGGGAGGAGACCACAGGAGATGGGGATCATTGGGGGCCAGAGTGGAGACTGTCGACCCCATACTGTTTACATCCTATTAACATCAATAGGAAATTAACAGGCAATTAAGACCCAGTCTCATGCAAATAATGCCAATTTCCTTTCTAACACCTATTCTATAAGCACAGTACTTACAAATTCATATACATCCCTTAAAATGGCTAACAATGTTTTTTCCAATTCCCATGTTGAAAAGATAAAATGTACCCAAGGACAGCTGCCCCACCCCTCCCCTCCACCATTATCAAGAAAAAAACTTAGCTGGGACAGGACATATTTATGTATGCCCTTTTACATGGCACGTGGTTTTAAAGGAGTGATCCAAAGGCAAATTTAAAGAGACCATTTAAGGAAACCAGTTGCACTTCACTGTTCCTTTCAAAACTTCTGGCAGCTCTTCAGCATATGAGCCTACTCAGGCCCTGTGCTGGGTGGTTGTCTGGGAGAAGCAGGAAGGGCTTAAATTCTGTGACTCGCAAAGCTCCTAACGTTCTTGTTTGTTCATGGTTTGGCCATGATTACATTTTGAGGAAGGGAAAGAATTATCACACAATAAGCCAGTAAAGCACATATTAAATATTCAGTCAGGACATGTAAACAAGTTACTGCTTTGGGATTCAGCTAGGGAAAGAAAAAAAATGTCTATTTGTAAGCATACAAATGTATTCCCTCAGGACGGAGGAATCCACAGGACAAGATAAATTGTAGCCAGTGTTGTCCTGAATGTTAGCCTCCTTTGCTCTGAACTAGATGCGCTCAAATATTCCAGCTCTGTTATTAACTAGCTATGCAAATTACGGCATGCCACTTATCCTCAGCAAGTCTCATTTTCCTTGTGTGTAAAAATGGGATTCAATTACGAGGTGAAGGAGTCTTATTTATTTAGTGCCTATGACATACTGTGGATTAACATATATCCACATTAATCTTTAGGAAAACCTTTCAAGCTAGACGAACAGGGGAAACGAGTCACATCATGCAGGTCCTACTAAGCCAGTTAAAGACATTATCCTCACAGTACTGGAGGATCCCCAAAGGGTTTTTAACAAGGGAGTGATTTCACTGGATTTGTACTTAAGAAAGATTCTTTTGGTTACATTGTGGATAAGCCAGAGAACTGTTGTGGTGAACCCAGGCAAAAGTTGATGAGAACCTGATTTAGGGCAGTTATAGTAGGGAAAAAGAAAAGTAAACATATTCCAATATATTTTAAAATATCAATATATTCAAGATATAGTTGAGAATATAAACATATTCAAGATGTACAGTATGCAGAAGTAATAAGACAGTGTTTCATAGGAAATACGTGGAGGCAGGAAGCAGGCAGTTAGGTTGAGAGGAAGAGAAGTACAATGCCTAGGTTCCTGGCACAGGCCAGGCAGGGTGAGGAGAGGTACCTTCCACTGAGACAGAAAACACAAGAACAGAAGCAGATTTGGGGGGAAAAGATAAATTCCATTTGGGACACATTAAATTTTGAAGTCGCTGGGTGACAACGTACAGTTGATAGTTGAGGGACTTCCCTGGGGGTCCAGTGGTTAAGATTCTGCACTTGCAATGCAAGCGGCGGGGGTTCGATCCCTGGTCAGGGAGCTAAGAGCCCACAGGCTGTGCAGCACTGCCAAGAAAATAAAAATGAAAAAAAAAGATAGTTGGATATGTGGGTCTGCTTTTCAAGACAGAATTTAGGAATTGAAATACAAATGTGGGGATTGTGAGCATACAGAAAATAATTGATACCAGGGAAGGAAATTAATTTTCTTAGGAAAATGTGCTGAGTTACATGGAAAAGGGTTTTGGGTTGAATACCAAGGAACAACATCTAGATGATGGATACAGGAGGAAGAAGGAGTACATGAAGCAGAATGAAAAGTCTCCTGAAAGAAAAAAGAAAAGAGGATAGTGGGCTTCCCTGGTGGCGCAGTGGTTGAGAGTTTGCCTGCCATGGCCGCTGAGCCTGCGTGTCTGGAGCCTGTGCTCCCCAACGGGAGAGGCCACAATAGTGAGAGGCCCGCAAAATGCAAAAAAAAAAAAAAAAAAAAGAGGATAGTGCCATATCTAAGGAGGTGTTTCAAAGAGGAGGAAGAGGTCACAGTGCTAAATGCTGCTGAGATGTCAAGTAAGGTAAAAGACTGAGAATATTCATTGGACGTAGAAATAAGGATACCCTGGATGGCCTTGGAAGAGCAGTTTTTGTGGAATGGTAGAGATGGAAGCAAGACACATAAGAAAGAAGAGGAGATAAGAAAGGCTAAAGAGTGAAGGTTTGAAAGCGGGAATGAGCTAGAGAGGGATATAGAGTTGAGGGAAGCATTTTTGAGAATAAAAGAGGCTTGAGCTCTTATCATTTATTCATGCATTCATTCCTGCAACAAGTCTTTACTGGTGGTCTACATAGTACCAGGCACTGTTCTCAAGGCTAGGTATGCAGCATATTTATACATTAATAGGAAGGGCCTGGTAAAAAAAAAAAAAAAAAAAAAAAAAAAGGAGAGGAAAAAAAAAAAAAAAAAAAAAGGAAAGATTGAGGATATAAGAAGAAAAGAGGAAAATAGGGGAGAATTCTGAGATCAGAAGAGATCCTGAGCACAGGCAGAGGGTTAGCCTCCAAGTCAACAGGGAGGGACATCTCTCATCTGAACAGAAAGAAGACAGCAAGATGGCGGAGTAGAAGGACGTGCCCTCACTCGCTCATGCAAGAGCACTGGAATCACAACTAACTGCTGAACAATCATCGACAGGGAGACACTGGAACTCACCAAAAAATATACACCACATCCACAAAGGAGAAGGTGCCATGAGACAGTAGCAGGGGCACAATCATGATAAAATCAAATCCCATAACTGCTAGGTGGGTGACTCAAACTGGAGAACAATTATACCACAGAAGTCCATCCACTGGAGTGAAGGTGCTGAGCCCCACGTCAGGCTTCCCAACCTGGGGGTCCAGCAACAGGAGGAGGAATTCCCAGAGAATCAGACTTTGAAGGCTAGTGGGATTTGATTGCAGGACTTTGACAGGTGTGGGGGAAACAGAGACTCCACTCTTGGAGGGCACACACAAAGTAGTGTGCGCATTGGGACCCAGGGGAAGGAGCAGTGACCCCAGAGGAGACTGAACCAGACCTACCTGCTAGTGTTGGAGGGTCTTCTGCAGAGGCGGGGGGCAGCGGTGGCTCACCACAGGGACAAGGACACTGGCAGCAGAAGTTCTGGGAAGTACTCCTTGGCGTGAGCCCTCCCAGAGTCTGCTATTAGCCCCACCAAAGGGCCTGTAGCCTCCAGTGCAGGGTCACCTCAGGCCAAACAACCAACAAGGAGGGAACTCATCCCCACCCATCAGCAGACAAGCGGATTAAAGTTTTTCTGAGCTCTGCCCACCAGAGCAACACCCAGCTCTACCTACCACCAGTCCCTCCCATCAGGAAGCCTGCACAAGCCTCTTAGGTAGCCTCATCCACCAGAGGGCAGACAGCAGAAGCAAGAAGAACTACAATCCTGCAGCCTGTGGAATGAATACCACATTCACAGAAAGATAGACAAGGTGAAAAGGCAGAGGGCTATGTACCAGATGCATAAACAAGATAAAA